AAATGTCAACGTTAAGAAAGGCTTACAAATATGTTATAACTACATTCATTAAATGTAAATTAAGTTTTTCATGTATAACCAAACTAATTAAGTATTGAAAAGTACTTGCATTCACTACAGGTGAACATATTTTTTTAAAATCAATATCGAGTCTTTGTGCAAATCCTTGGACAACTAGTCTTGTTTTGTATCTCACAATTTCATCATCCTCATTTTGCTTTTGCATAAAAATATTACATATGTAAATGATTTTACATCTTCAAGTGTATAGACTATAGGTCCAAAATGATTCAACTAAACTATAGGTCCAAAAACCTTTTGCTTTGACGAACAAGTTTAATTTTGCCTCAATTGAGTTTTTCTATTATTTTGCCAATCATTTATTTTTCAACAATATTTAATAAGTTGTGGTTCTTGATCCTCATTATTATTTATCATCTTTAGCGCTATATTATATGTAAATATATCATCAATATCAATTTCATTTTGGTTTCATCATATTTACATTCATGTCATAATTTGAAATCTCTTTGTTTTCACAAATTTCAGGTACCTACGCCCTTTTGGAACTTATTAATTATGTCAAGGAAATAGTTTGGACTTTTTATATTCTTGATTTGACTATCTTGGTTTTTAGCTCCTTTTCTAATTTCTTATATTTGGAACTAATAAGTTTATTGCGCTTCATGCGAATTTGAGACTTTTTACAATATTGTCCAACAAGAACATCAATTTGTTGGAGCATTAACAATTGATATATATATATAAATTATTTAACCATTCATTTGGTTAAACTTTTGTAAATGAATTATCTTTTGAACTTTTAGTTCACATTATTTTGAATGAGGATCAAGATGAGATAACAATAATTCATTTCAACTAATATCCTTCTCCAACTGCTTATTTTTCTCTCCCTGTTATTGAGAAAACATTAAAAATTAAAATTGACAAATTGAGCCATAAATAGGACTCTTATAATTAATTAACATCATGTATCATAATATTAGGATTTATATTTCCATAGGAATGATAATTCTTTGTGCATGAAAAAATTTCTTTTCTATGAAACATCCTGTTGTCACCTAGAACGAAGGATTTAGATGGAGTTTAGTGTAACATGGTTTTTTAAAAAAAAAAATAGGTGATTTAGTAGCCCAGAACGGGCCGTTCCCAATCTGGAACGGGCTGTTCCAAGCTACTGAATTGATCTATAAAACGTAGCTGAGAACAGGCCGTTCTTCTAGAGGGAGAACGGGCCGTTCCGGAAGGAATACGGGCCGTTCTGGATGGAGAATTGGTCGTTCTGGATGAATACCAGAACGGGCCGTTTTGATTTCAGAACGGGCTGTTCTGCATGTGGTTTTTATACGTGTTGAGGGAGTGCAGAACGGGCCGTTCCGGTTTCGGTACAGGCCGTTCTGGCCATTCCGGAACTTCTATAAATAGGGGTTGGGGACAGTTAAGGAGAATGAGTTTTTAGAGAGAAGTTTTAGAGAGAAGGACTCTGGATCTGTGAGCTCCTTTCTCTCCCAAATTTCTTTGTATGATTCCTTTTCTCCTCTAGGTCACTAATGCCTTCTGTCTTTTATTGAAATTCAGTTTAGGAAGCTTGCTTAAGGAGGATTGAAGTTTTGGGTTGAGCTTCGGAAGGGAATTCTACTTCTTCTCAGTTATTGGCTATTTTGAGCCAATCTTCAGGTGAGGGAAGTTAGAGTGTAGATTGATTAAGTTGTTAGGTGTGGATTGAGTAGTTGCTAACTTAAGTTGTTAATATGCTGTGTGTTGATAATATGTTATACGTTGTAAAAACTAAGTTGTTTTTATGTTGTTTATATAAGATGAATTTTAAATATGTTGTATATTGTTGAAGTTGTTTATAAAGTTGTTAAGTTGCATTAAGTTGATATTGTAATTACTATAGTTGTTTAATTAAGTTGTTTGCATGTTGTAAGTTGTCTATTGTCGTTAAGATGTATATTGTTGTAAAATTGATAAGATGTCTATTATTGAAAAGTTGTATGTTGTTTAAGTTGTTACGCTTATTAAGTTGTGATGATGAGTTGTTGATCACTAGGACTAGGGGAGATGTTTTCGAAGTTGCTCATCCCATTGTGTGAATTGAGATAGTTGTGGTGCTCTGAGAGCCCAATTTGTTGAAAAACCCTCCTTGGGAAGTTGTCCCTTGGAGTGGACGTTGTATTGTTCTCCTCTAGGACTTAGTTGATCCCGTGTGTGGGCAAGGTCGAGGTACACGTGTACAAAGCGACCACAATATAAGGGCCAAGCCGAGCTATACTGATTACAAACGGCCAGATGTTGAGATACATAGTACTAAGGTGATAAGTTGAAAGTTGTTTTAAAGTTGAATCCCTTAGTACTGTGTGGGCGACATGGAAATAGTCAATCCATGTCATGGTTGAATGACCAATTTGAGTAAGGTATCTAGTTAGAGATGTAGTCTTTGACTAGGTACTGGAGGGTGCGTGGTACTTGGAGGATAGTGGGTGGGCTAACTCCACATGTGGATTGGTGAAGCTAGCCAAGGCCGTGGTAGGCTTATACCCAAACCCTTCTGTCCTGACAGTAGTACTGGACCTCCGAGTCTAAGTGGCACACCTGAGAAATCGTCTATTGTTGTCTATACCTGGTTCTCTTCGGTGTTCCTAACGTTGTACTATACCTAACCTGGTTGAGATAGGTCAAACATTGGATTCGGTAAGGTTTATGCCACCTAGACTGCTCAACCTCAGTTGTTGGAGATCTCCCAGTTGTACATGCGTGACGACGCATTAAATATTAAGTTGTATATTGTTGTTGTTGTTGTTGTTGTATTAAAGTTATTTCTAAATTGTATGAATGAGATGGGTTTTTATGTTGAACTGTATGGTCGTTTGTGATGATGATTATTATGCATTTATTGCATGATTGTTAATATGATGAAGTGTGTGGTGTCTTGCTTGATGATTAATGGATGCATGAGTAATATTGGATAGAGTATGGTGTGACTCTATGAACATGACTGATAGGTGGATGATGTGTAGTATAGATTTTATTCTGTACTTGTATGATTGGTTTTGAACTCTAGCTTACCCTTTTGTTTCCATGTAGTGGAACTGCGATGATCATACTTGGTATGAGAGCAGGTCAAGGCTATCTTAGAGTTGAGGTGATCGCTGCAAGACGGGAAGTTTTGATCCTCGTGTTAGAGTTACCACCTTGGTGTGCTTGACCGATAGTAGGAGATAGTAGTTTTGGATAACTGTATAAATACCTAATACTTAAAAACTTAATGATTCGTATATATTTTTCATGTTTTTTTTGTATTTATAAGTTATCCAATTTTATTATTTATCTTAGTTCACTATTTTTAGTGCGATTCCACTAAGTGTAGGGACCACGGCGGGTCGTTATATTTAGTGGGGCTGATACATGCATATTTTTTTTATACAAAAAATAATATATTTTAAAAATAAGTTATATTTTAATAAAAGAAAATATATTTTTCGTCCCTTATATTATTTATTAGTGTCAATTTAGTCCTACTTTAATTAATTGAATTAATTTAGTCTCTCATCTTTAAAATGTATCTGAATGTTTGATATTTCGTTTCATTCGTTTAAATACTTAACAGATTTGACACGTGTCATGTCGCATGTCATGTTGTCATGACACGTGTCATACTGTCATGCCAAGTGTCATGTCATCGTGCCACTTGTCATGATATCCAGCCATGGGGCATGACACATGTCATATCCGTTAAATATTTAAACGAAGGAGACTGAAAATCAAACATTAAGATACATTTTAAAGATGTGGAACTAAATTGATTCAATTAATTAAAGAGACTAAATTGAATCTAATAAATAATATAAAGGACAAAAAGTATATTTTTGCCTTTAATAAGATAAATGTATATGTTTAAATTGTCTATGTATAAAATATAAATTCAGATGAGATATTCATTTATTTAATGTCCATCAAATTTTCGAAGGAAATCAATTTTCATGTGATAAGGAATACTCCTTAAAAATGAATTAATTTTTAAAAAAAGTTTAATTATAGTATATATATATATATTATATTAATGTTCACATATATAATGTAATATATTAAAAAAAATATTTTTTGATAAAATAATATTTGCAACATATATGTTTACTTTTTGTATTTTCTATTTATTGTATACGTTGATTAAAAATAATCAAAATATTGTATACATTGTTTAAAAAAAATCAAAATAGGAAATATCGGAAGATTTATATTCTATTAATTAAAATAAGATTTTTTGAAATTACAGAGACTAAATATAATAATTTTAAATTTGAGGAATCAAAAATAAATTTATCGTAAATTTGAAAAACTAAAAACATATTTAAGTCAAAATATATTTTAAAATAAATTATCATCTAAAAATTTATATTATATATTAAAAATATGTTTATATCATAAATAAATTAAACTTAATTTCTATAAAATTTTTTGAAATGTCCGGGTTGTCTCAATTATTTCATGATTTATAGCTACAAAAAGAAAGATAATAAATAGTGAAAACAAATAAATAATATGAGGAAAAAAGAATTTGACTGATATAATATTCCTAAGAAAGGATTGATCTATTTATAAATATACATGATAGCTTAATAATTACACAAAAAAAGGAAATAATATATAAAAAAAATATAAATGATAATAATATATATTGAATATTGACATCTACTGATTAAACTACTAATTGTCATTCATAACGCTTTCCATTGAATGTTCAATATTTAGAATATCTTGTTAAAACCTTTCTAGAAAAAATTTTGTGGGATAAAAACCTAGTGAAACAAAAAGAGTACATCTTTTTTAAATATTTATTTCTCCATTTCATGCATACAAGTATCTTTAAGACAATAAAGTTCAATCTTGTGTATCAACTACTTAAAATCTTTTCTTGGAAGTGACTTTATAAAAAGATCTATTAGGTTATCACATGAGTGAATTAACTTGTTGAATATTTATATCACCATTCTTTTGAAGATTGTGAGTAAACAAAAATTTTGGTTGAATATGTTTTATTTTATCTCTCTTTATGTATCATTCTTTCAATTGTGCAATATATGCATCATTATCTTCATATATAATTGTTGAAGTCATTTTTTCGAAAGATAAACCACAAGTTTTCTATACATGTTGAATCACAAATCTTAGCGAAACACATTCACAATTTGTCTCATGCAATGGTAAAATTTCTACATAATTAGATGAAGTGGCTACTATGATTTGTTTTATAGATCACTATGAAATGGTTGTACCACCACCTGTAAATAAATATCATGTTTATTATTCACCATTATAAGGATCTGACAAATAACTTATGTTCTTACCAGGATCAAGTTGGCTCCCTTGTTCATCTTTTTGATCTTGGTCTCCGAAGTTGGTCTTCGTTCTCCTCAACATCTTCGATGTACCTGCAAAAAGGACTCTAACGGTCAAGTTAGTTATCTTGTGTATATCATTTTTTCCTATATAATTACCTGTCTTGTTCCGTTATCGTCCAATCCCATTCCATGTAACCGTCATAGTCGTTTCTTTTGGAGAATTAGTAGCAATTAAGTTATCCTCATGACGAGCAATGTCCCTAATGTATCGAGGTCAATGCCCAATATCGTAAATTTAATCTGATATTCCTATTTCGAGATCATCTCGGCATCCTCTGTCTTCGCTCTCAAAAATTGAGCTGACAAATAACTTATGTTCTTACCAGGATCAAGTCGGCTCCCTTGTTCATCTCTTTGATCTTGGTCTCCAAAGTTGTTCTTCGTTCTCCTCAACATCTTCGATGTACCTGCAAAAAGGACTCCAACGATCAAGTTAGTTATCTTGTGTATATCATTTTTTCCTATATAATTACCTATCTTGTTCCGTTATCGTCCAATCCCCTTCCATGTAACCGTCATAGTCGTTCCTTTTGGATAATTAGTAGCGGTTAAGTTGGTCATCCTCATGATGAGGTATACATCCAATGTCCTCAATGTGTCGAGGTCAATACCCGATATCATAAAATTCAATCCGATATTCCTATTTCGAGATCATCTCGGCGTCCTCTGTCTTTACTCTAAAAAATTGACCTATTAATCAGACTCGGTCATATCATAACCTCAGTCTCACAAGTCAAATTGGTACATAAGCCCCCCAAGCTTTGAACGATGTAAGAGTGAGAAAGGTTAAAATGATAAAGAGTTGTGATCCCAAAGAGTTATAAAGACAAAAAGATATCTTTAAGGATCCAACGGTTCTAATGTTGGGAAATGTGAAGAAACGCGGCGATAATCATTATCGTTGAGTCATTTGATGTGTACAACATTAAATAGACCACAAATTTTAATAAAATTAATTACATGAGACGTTTCATTAATGGGACGTGACATTTGAAGGGCTAGTGAGAAAAAAATTCTTTTATTTTGATTGTTGCACCATTTACCCACTTTTGATGGAAAATATTCTTAAATTTTCTTTATTTGAAAATGTCTTCTAGACCATTGCAAAAATAATCTAATAATTTATTTTCATGAGTTTGTCTTTAAAACTGATTGTATTTAAATAAATTTCACAACCATATGAACAATACAAATATTATATGAAATAAATAATGTGAAGAATATGATTAGAGATAAAATATGATTAGAGATAAAATGTGATTAGAAATAAAATATCTAATATTGAAATATGATTTTAAAAATATGACTTTTTTGATAAATCTCTTCACAACTTTGTCTTGTATGTTGCAATACCAATGAAGGAAAAACTATCGTACTAATAACATAAAGAAAAATAATAACAGAGAGAACAAATAAAACAATATGAGATAGAGAAAAGAATTTGATGAATGTATTATTTCTAAGAGAAGATTATTCTATTTATAAGTGCATACAGTAGTTGAACAATTATACCAAGAATGAAATAATATATAATGAAAATATAAATGGTAGTAATGTACATTGAATATTGATCCACTAATTAAGTCACTAATTATTATTCATCATTTATTTAACTCTTTCTTCCCAAATTTTTGTGTTTTTACAAAATATTTTCTCAACTTTTTTCTCATGAATTATGTTATTAAATGTTCAATTTATCAATTTGATCCCATTATTTTTAAAATGTTCAATTTGATCCTCTAATTTTTTAAAAAAATATTCAATGTTGTCCTTTCACCTAATTACATTAACATTATTAGTGTTAATTTGAACGGAAGGGCAACATGAAACATTTTTTGAAAATTAAAGGATGAAATTGCACCTTTTAAAAATAATAGGACTAAACTAAATCCTAAAAATAATAAAGAGACTAAAAATATTGTAACACTGTTAGTTTGTTAATTGTTTTGTAGTAGAAATATTGGTGTATGGGGCTCTTAAGATGTGTTGAGTGACTTTGAGAATTAAGGAACTCTTAAGAGTTTGGTGAGTTTTTGAGGCTTTTTGACCAAACATTCAGTTAACCTTGAGTGAGAGAAGGTATTTAAGGTTTCTTTTGAGATTCAGGCCATATAACCTCATTCTAAAAAAAACCTAGAGAGAGAGAATTCTAGAGAGTGGAGATTTGAAGATCTTAATTCTTCTTTTTCCTTTCTAGACTCCTCAAGAGAGCAATATATCTTTAGTTGGTGCTTGTGTGTTTTGATCAGAGGCTTCTAGCTGAAGATCAAGTTGGTGGGTTGGTGTGAAGCTTGTATGCTTGAAGCTCGAAAGTTCATCTTATCCTTATTCCTTCATCTCTTGCTTAGAGTGTGGTAAGGTAAGCTATGAGTTTTTGTTGTTATATTATTTTGTTGCATGTAGTTTATTTACACCAATAATGTAATTATGTGTCACATTTTCGAAAGATTGAATGTAATGGGTAGGTTTTTTGTGTTTTGAGCACTTGAGTTGAATTTTGATGATTTAATCAAATTGTTGGTGCATGCTGAACTTATGGTATTATATGGGTTAGGAATGAAGTTTACATGTTGTTTGGTGCATTGCTTAACTGTTCTAAGTTTCAAGTGCAAGGGAGACAAATTCATGATCTACAAAATGTAGAAATTGCAGTCACGTTAGGCAAACCTTCGTGGTGTTGAGCACGATTCTAATTAGAGGTCTTTATCTCGGTTCATGTCAAACGCAAGATCAATGGCATTGAGTGTGAGGAAAGAGACTCGTTTCGGGTTAGGATGGCACTAAATGTGGTTTGAATGGTGTCAGATATAAAAGTACTAGAAAGTCTCTAACATGGTGACGCTTGGCCCTAGTTGGCTGGTACTAAACATGATCAAGGTAGAGGCTCTTTTCCTAGACGATGTTGAGTGCTAGTGAGATGACGCTGAGTGATAATGAGGTGACATCAAGCGCTAGTGTGGTGATGTTGGGTGTGAGTTAGGTAGAGACTCTTTTCTTGAAATAGGGTCAAGCTTGGGTTTGGCCATACTAGGTGTGAGGTCCTAGGGGTTTCCTACCTAAGTCATGTGGAGCATGGTGGAGTGGCGTTGGACGTGGACAAGGTAGACGACTCCTTGCCTTGATGATGTCAGGCACAAGGTATGTTACGTTGGGCACAAATTAAATTATGAATGCTTGTTGCTTAGTGAGTTGTTTGGTGAACATGGATAAAATTATTAAGTCTATTACATGTTGTATGTTGTATGATGATGATAGTTATATATATATATATATATATATATATATATATATTGATATGGCATAATATATGTAGATATTTGTATGGTCAAATTGTTGTTAAGCATTGGTATGTTATACTTGATTGAGGTATTAAGCATTGATATGCTAGTCTTGAATGAGTTGATAGGCATTGATATGTTATACTAGAATTGTATGATTTGATCTCTATATGTATTAACCTAAGGTAATGTATATAGATTATATATATTGAAGTATTGATGCTAAGAATGTTGTGGGCATTAAAACATGTTGATTGGCTTAGGACTAGAGGAAAGATGTTGTTTTGAAAGTTGAAGATCCAATGTAGGGAATCTCGTTACGGTACCTTGGGAGGCTAATTGTTGAAAACCCTCCTTGAGTAGGTGTGGAACTGTTGGAGTGGATTTTGGTGGCTAAGGATAGATCTCTTGAAATTGGTCTTCTTAGCCTTCTAGTGTATGATCAACATGGTCATTTCCTTCTTCCTCCTAGTAGTTAGGTTGCTCATTAATGATCACTTTGAGGTGCCCTATGTCATCCTTGCTAATAATCTTCATCCATTACAATGTTGACTCTCTAGTGGCTTCCATTGGAAATCCCTAGGCAGATAGCAATCCAAGAAATCCCAAATTATAGGCAATAACAAGTTTCAGAGATCCTACCACTATGACCTGGTTAGGTCTTGGGTAGCTATTCTTTCCCAGTGAAAGATAGTGCTTGAGAAATAGTATGCTTGTGTTACATTGTCTTCCAATGGACACCATAATGGAATCAAGTCTTTTGTAGTGATGATACCCTCACTCTAGAAGTGGTTGTTGATGGATCTTACTATCCATTGGTGGAGAACTTTCAAGGCTAGGTTCTAAAGCTTAGTGTCCTTTGATCAACTTGTTTATACCCAACTTCTCTAGTAAAAATGTGCCATGAAACAACATCTGAAACCTCAAGGGACAATATAAGTAAAACCTCCTAATACTTCTTACTCATCATGGTCTCTACTATTTCAAACTCCAACAATATGTTGAAGTCTACAGAGTCATCTTTTGCTCCATTACCCCCATAAAAATGATACCATGGCTATAAGAGAAGGGGTTAGTATCCTCTAGGAGGTCTCCATCTTCAAAAGGTTCTTACTCTCACTCCTTGCAAGTGGATATGAACTCTACACTACAAAAAAATGTAATTTGTGGTGATTATTTTGACAATTTCTAGAGGTTAAAAGCCGTCACAAATTGCATTACCAGCATCATTAATAACCGTAAGATCCATGGACGCCAAACACATTTTGTGGCGGGTTTTTTTGTAAGCGTTGGTTTTGGATGCTAGAAAATTCAATCACTTTGTGGCGGCTTAAAATCACCACAAAACTCATTTCAATTTTATGCTTTAACTTGTTTTACATTTTCTGGCGGTTTAAAACCGCCACAAAATGTATTTTAATTTTGTCTAATCCAACTTTTTTTTTGACGGTTTTAAACCTCCACAAAATTGTGTTTTCATTTGACTTGTAATATTCTCGTAATATTCTACCATTTTTTTTCTTCTCATGACACGTTACATGTGTCCATTTATCTCTCTCTCTATATATTTATTGTTACTCATAGTTAATACTAGCTAGCTATTTTTAATAACCTTCATATGTGATTCTTCATTTTCAGATTTGATTTTTTAGATACCTTCATACATGAATTGATTAGCGGTTTTGTTATAGGTGAACAATGCAACAACAAATATAACAAAGGAAATAGTAGATTACAGTGCAGAAGATGTATCTACCAGAATGGGATCCAATTTTGAGTCTGTTTATCATTTGAGTCAACTTGCACAGTCACTTCTTAAAGAATCATCTTCTATGGCCAAATCTAAGGCTGTAGAGGGATAAGGTTTAGTTAGACCTTTCCATTATTTTATGGAGGTGGTCATAATTGGATTAACCTGAAGAGATGGAGGATTGCTAGAATCAGAATCCTGATCCGATCCTTGGTTTAGAACACCTACAGTTCTTGTGGCCATCCTCATTTTAGGTCTAGAAGAGGCTTCTTCAGTAACTTGGGGAGTATCAGGGATGGTGGTAGCTTTAAGCAAATTATTAATTTTATTTAATAATTCACTAGCATCAGAATCAATATTGGATTTTGCCTTAGCCTTTTGCAAAGTCTGTTTTGCCTTTTGACTAAGCTTGAAAGGTTGAAATAGTGGTTTTTCTAAATGTTTTGAACTTGTAGCTTGGATAGATGGTGGCTGCTTCTTAGACCTATGCTCAATATGAGTATTGAGTATGATTCCTCTTTTTAGTCTCATAGTCTCTATTGTACATACATTGTATAGTTTGATTTCTTGTACCTTGTATATAGTATATACTTGTATAGGTGTATTTTTGCCTTTGTATTTGCGCGGCACTTTATTTCCTTTTATTAGCTATTGTATATTGTTTCTAGGGTAGGTTACTTGGACACTTTGACTCCATTTAACCTAATCTAGAAATACACT